AAAAAAAAAAAAATTGGATCCGCCTTTGGAGATTACGGAAATAAAAAATCCCGACTAGCTAGAGAAAAACCACTCGCACCTCTCTGCCTAGCCGCTTAATCAAGCCTAGTTTCAGATGGATCCGAGCTCAGCTTACGGCGCGGCTGGGGCCAGGCTCAGGTGTAAATCTAGCCCAAACACCTCATCTTCAAATCCAGGCCCATCATTAAATCTCGTAAATCTACTCAACGAAGGCCCATCGAATCTCCCACTATAGGCCTTAACGCCAACGCTCTGCCGAGATGGGCCAGGCTCTCCTACGCGGCGCGCCACGTGGACCGTCCCATCGGCGCGTGGGGCGCACACCCACGACTGCGACGGAACGAGCAGGTGGGCCGGCGACAACAAGGCGGAGGCCATGGGGATGCGGCCGTATGCAGCGGCGGCTTGCCTGAGTTGCTGGCGCTCTTTCTTGTGCGCGTTCTGGTGGCATCCGAGGGCCTGCGAGTTGGCGAATTTGCAGCGAAAGTATGGGCACTCGTACCTCCGGCCGGCGGAGTGCGGCGGAGCTCCGGTGGGTCCGACGGGATCTTCGCGATCCTCGGTGACGTGGAAGCCGAAGAGTTTTAACCGCGTGGCGGTGCATGTTTGATTGGGTATTGTAAACTTAGACCAAAATATTAACCAATCAATCAGCCTAAACTTTTTTTGGCCATTATGCATTGGAATTCAAAATTTCCAGAAAAATTAAACACATTTAATTGAGAATTTGACAAGAATAAACTTTATTGGATGGAAATGTAAATTTACAACAATAAAATATAATAAAAATATTCCACTTTTAGATCTTTGTATACTTAATATATTAACTAATAAATATTTTATATTAATATTGTGAACAAAAAAAATATATGTCCCTTAAACAATTATGATACAGTGTTGACCAATTATTAATTGTATCGATTTACATAGCTCTATGTCTCACATTGGAAAAATATCAACAATCAACAATCATATTTAATTAATATACCATTACCATGCACTTTTAAAGTTATTTACCAAATAAAATAATGATTTGACTAGACAATCTAATTTAGGATAAGTAAATTTATTAGTTATTAATTCTCTTATAATTGTGGCCCAGATTATGGCTAAATATTTTATTCTGGCTAAGAATTAATTTTTAAAATTTTCATATTAAGTATGTAAAAAAAAACAAATTGATATCATTTCTAGTAATTATAATCTTTTTATTAGAATATATATTTATATATTCTAAAATTTATGTTATTGTCATCATCTGCTGAAAGAACATACAATACAATATCATCACTTCACACTAGCCTCTGAATCCCAAGGCGCCACATTCTTGAACGTAATATTGTCGTAGCTGACGGAGAATCCCCAATCATCGGCCTTCCAATATATGTCAGCCCATCTCTTATCACTGGCCGGAACGTACGCTTGGAAATACGAAATTGCCAAGTTGTAAATGCCGAATGCATAATACAAGTTATCGACTTTCTCCACCTTGATCTCATAGTTTTGGCCCCGGCTTAGGGTGGCCGAGCCAACGAAAGAGCCGGCTTTAACGCGAAGATTTATGGGAGCCGAATGGGTAGAGGCCACCGCATTCGTAAAGTGGATCGTCGTTGGCGAGCTGGCGAAGGTCGAGACGGAAAGATAAGCGGCGGTTGCTAAGAGCACAAGGCCGTGAAACAAGTATTTGGAGGCCATTTTTTCTATATAGAATTTTGAATATATAAACAAGTATATGTAATGGTTTTGGACAAATAGATGAAGGAAGCACAATGTGTTTTGGTATTTATAGGGAGAGATTGACAAAAATTATTTGGACAAAAATGAGATTAGATGTTAATCTTAAATAGGA